CAGGAAATACGAAAGCTGGAGGCTGAAATCTTAAGGAAATGTTCCCAGCCCCCTCCTTCCCTCCCCTCCCCTCCCCTCCTCGTAAAGTTCAGCTTCCAGATACGTACTGTTCTCATGCACAGATCCATGAAATTTTTTGGCTTACTCAAGAGAAAATTGCTAACTCAAGAACCAGAGAAGTCGGGAAGCTGAAATTTTAACGAAATGTTCCCTGTTCAAGTATCGCGTAGGCAATTAAATTCTTGAACTTCGAGGACCAGTATGTCACAAATCTTAGCTACTAGGTTCCCGAGTGATCTCATTACAAGACGAAATATTGCAAAAATGCATGATTGCACGGAACTGCTCGGTGCGCGTCGCCAATAATTTGATTATGATACGCTAAATGCTACCAAATTCAACAAGGTAATGATGAAGTTACTAAAGGAAATATTTACCAGCTAGCCTACCATTTTTACCGATACTAACCTGAGAGAAAAATGATGGGTTCCAAGTGAGAGGAGAAGCCTGTCTTTTTTACATACTGGAAAAGTCATCAGTTGGAAGTTCTCAAATGAAAAATATTATTTTTTCTGTATTATTCAATGGTCATTTCGGCGGTAAGTTTAAGCTGGCCTACGCAGTGGCGACTCAACGTAGCACTTTCTGACAGTCATGGCTTTGGAGTTTCCGCTGCTAAATGCCCAGCGAAAAGTTTTCCTACAGAAGAGTTGCCTCCCCTATGGAAGGCTTCTCTAAATTTTATGTATTACCTGGAAAGGTTTTTGCCCAGTGTGAATTCGAATATGTCTCGTCAACTCATCTGACCTTGAGAAACGTCTATCACAGTTTTCAATCGGGCATTTGTAGGGACGTTCATGCGACGGAGCCTTTAACAATCGACTTGGATATTTACGAACTTTCGGCGTATTAGCTGAAAGAAAAAAAGTTATCAGTGACAAAAGATTAGCAAGAAGCAAAAACGAGCATTAAACGCAGTTAGGAACAGGCCAAACGACGAATTCTCCAAACGGAATGTGCAGGTATTGAGCAGCTGGGCCTCATCTTCCGATACATGCTCCCGCAGGTCACTTCTTATCTGCTGCCAGACAAATCAACACAAACCAAACAAAAAA